AATCGTGCTGGATGCGAAGAATGTTTCAAGAGTTATTTATGGAATGGGATGGTGAGTTTTTTAAGGTGGGGAACCTGTGAAATTCGCGTAGGTGTGTTCTTGCTTAAGTTTTCGATACAACTTTGACACCATCTGGGTAGATTGGTCGTTGTACACGTCGTTTCTCTAGCGGACAGAGTTTATTGCACAGTTTGTTTCTCTAGCACTTTGCAACATCGATCAGGTGTGAAGAAATGTCTACTAATTGTAGCAACTTTGGATCATAACGAGTTTGAAGGATTTTTATTTAATTAAAGGTTTCTTAACAACATTTGCATGACTACATTGTTTCATGCTTAAATCGGCAATTAGAAACCCATTATTTCGAGATACTTGCCAAGCCTAAACAAAGCATATTTGGGAGACTCGTGATCAAGGGATCCTCGGCTCAACGTTGTCGAGAGCACCAGAGCGCTGACTGATTCTATCTTTTGATTGCACAAAAGAGAAAAAAAAGACTGATTAATTCATATGTTGAGCAAGAGCTGTGCAAGTCCAGTTCGAGAGAGTCGAGTCACAAAAATCTCCGATTCCCTACAATTCGCCAAGGTATAAGGAGTGTGATGAGTGCAATCAATACAAACATTACAATGAACTTGAAAAGGATAGAACTACGCGAAATGATGATCACTATCGTGAAGTTTTGACTACTAGTATGTCTAATTTGATGAGTCGTAGCACACCAAGGAATTTTGAAAATTAACTGCAGAACCGGCCTGGAGGTATGAACTATGAGGAATGCAATCTGTATAGGACACCACAATAAACTTTACAAAAACTAGTGCTAGTCGAAATAACAATCTCATCGTCTTGGAGTTTAGAATTACTAGTAAGCGAGATGTGACAAATCGTGGCACAAGATGTAACTTTGAAAATACTTGCAGAAACAGCCTTGCCCCTCCAGTTTCTTGAAGCCCACTGCAGGTCCAATTCCAGTTGTGCAGTGCCCTGAAAACTCCTCATTTTAAATGGAAGTGGAAATAACCTTAAGGTTCACTAACATGCAACTGTTGTTCTAGTAAGAACCGACTAGTATTTAAAATTTCAAATGGGGCAAAAAAACGAATGTGACCAAGACCCCTGCTGCGCGGGCATCGTTGCCGGAGAAGGCAAAGGAGCAGTATGCCAATGTGATCAAAGACGTTGGTATAGTGGGACATTGACAATCCCCAGAGCCGGGGGGTATGACCAATCCAAGATCGTTGAAAACAGTGTCCATGCTCAAGATCATGAATTACCGCAATCCCGTCGATCTCTGAATCTGTGGAAACATTTATCATTTTGCTAAGAGATCTATGAGGTGTTGCTCGTAGCTGACATTCAGCAGATTTTTTTTTCTCAAATAAGAGTTGATAACTGAAGACTAGTAGGGGATTCAATCGAAAATAGTTAATTAGTCCCTCAAATTAAGATTTTTAATTTAAAATTTTTCATTAGATACAAGGGTTGGTAACTCTAAAATGTTGATAAGCTGCACAAATAAAGGTGAAAGTTAGTATAAAAGTAAGCACTTTGGAATCAGTCAAATATAGTTCGATAAATCACTTAACAAGAGTTGGTAACTTTAAAAAGTTCATAAATGGGGACAATTTATGAACAATCAAATAAATATTTTCTTTGTCAGAACAATTGAATAAATGTTGGTAAGTCACGAAAATAAGAATTGATTATCTAAAACTAGAACTTAATTGAACAGAATTAGTTAGTCAATCAAATTAAGGATGGTAATTACATAAAAGAGATAGTAGCTATACAAATAAAATTGCTTATTTATTATAAAATTTGGTAATTGGAATCAATCTCACAGAGGTTTGTCAGTCACTTAATAAGAGTCGGAAGCCCAAAACACTAGTTGCTAACTTAATCGCAGAAAAGTGGGAAAGTCCCTCAAATCAAGATATCTAATCAAATAAAAGTTGGTAACTCACTCAAATTAAGTTTGCTATTTTAGTATTAAAGTTGATAACTTTACAACGTAGGTAACTTATGTAGAATAATGTAATAATTTGAAAGTAGTCAAATAAGGGTTTCAATTTTGTTAGACAATCAAACAAATGTTAGTAAGTCTCTCATACAAGTTGGTAATCTAAAATTGTTTTGTAACTTGAATAGATTATTTTGGTAAATCCGTCAATTAAGGTTCATAATTTGATACTAAAAGTTGATAACTCTGAAACTTTCTTTTTTTTTTGGTCAGAACTCTTAGACATTGGTAAGCTACACAACTACAAATTAATAAATTCCTAGCAAAAAACTTATTTACAGAAGTTGGTAATTTTGAAACAATAAGAAAAACATTAGCAAGTCAATCAAATGAGAGTTGATCGCTTAATCGGAGAAAAATAGGTTATTTGAAAACAATCAAATGACATCAATAAGTCAATCAAATAAGAGTTTTTGCTCAACATTAGTCGGTATTTGGAATGTTGCTTACGCATTGCTACGATTAATATATATATTATCATTGATAATATTGTCATGAATGTCAATTAAAGAGAAGTACATAGTTGAAATCTATATATTTGTATTGAACCCATGGAGTTGATTAGTAATAAGGAGACAAACTTGAGTATTGCACGACATACGATACAAATTCGATATTTCATACCCTTAAGAGCAAACGATTAGGTCAACAACCAGGGCGGATCTATGTTTTTCGCCCACACTCTTTCTTATAGTTTTGATAAAATTTTTTGTCTTGAAGGTCTTTGAATAATGTTACACTATTTTCCTTCAAATTGAGTTTTTCCTCCATTTAATTTCTTAAAAAAATTAGATAAGTCATATGAGGGCAAATTGCACTTGCAAATCATAAAAGCCAATAAACAATCTTAGAATAAGGGTGTGTTTGTTTAACTGAAAACTTCATGATAAAAGAAAATATTTTCCGTGAAAATCATTTTCAAGGAAAATAGTTAATTTTCGTTTGTTTGGTGGTATAGGGAATATGATTTCAGAAGGGCCGTTGTTTTTCTCTAATTTAAGTTTGTTATTTTCAATCCATGAAATTTTTTTCCATAAATCGATTAGTTTCTGTCATCTAATTATCGGAAAGTTGGAAAACAGTTTTCTTTCGAACAAATGGACCCTAAGACTATTATCGGTAAACAAATGTAAATTTTCATCGGACTTTTTTAGGCGTAAGAAGTAAGAACCTCATTTTATATCGAAGAAGATACACTTGATTTCTTTGCAACCATAAAATTATGGATACGGCCTTGGCCACCGATATGGGCTCTCGCTCGCATCTTGCTTAGTCCATGAGATTAGTACTGTATTTCATGGATTGAGATGCTATAAGCTGATAAATTGATTGGCAAATATAGTTGCTAGAGCATTTCTAATGAAGGGAAGATAGCCTAGTTTTGTTTGTTACTCTATAGAAATGGAGTAGGTGGACTCTAACCCCACATTCACCCATTTCACATTCTCACTACTTTCTCTAAGGAGGCTTGAAAAGACCCCCTTTTCATCATTTTTTTTATAGATTCAATTGGAGAAATTTGTCAATAATATGAGAAACTAGTAACGTAGAACTTTATAGACACGGATAAATTTTAATGATTTTTTTTGTTCAACGTAGAACCGTCCCATCCTTTTGACAACCCACACAAGAGTGATCAGGTTATTAGAGTGACTTCCAGCACCGATAGGGTCACTTTCTTCAAGTCACCGATGGACCATAAGGATAATCAATTTGACATATCGACAGGCCTTTTTCTTGTCTTTATCCTCTGGGTATAAAAAAGGAGGACACCTTTAAGCCAAAGATTCCAAATTTTCCACAAAATATGACCCGAAAGAAATTAAACTTAAGCGACGAAAACGTATCTTTGATTTACTCTTTATTTCTAAGTTCATAGATTGCTCTTCTCATCTCAGTTTCGCTGCCGCCATGTCAGAAGGTTACAAGTTTATTGGAGGTCGTAAGAGAGAGATGTCTTTATTGTACGAAAGCCATGGAATCCACAAGGTGCGACTTCTTAAGCAAGAACTAATGCGCAGACATGAAGAACAAACGACTAACATGGTTTCCAAGTAATGTCAAATTCCGACAAAATCAATGAATGATAAATAAATAAATGCTCTTTCTACCTTCAGGAAGAAAAAATAGGTATCAAAGAATGCTCTTCTAGAGCTTCACGTTTAGACTTGTTAAAGGAATGCATTTAATATATGCATGGATTTAAGATTCGTTATGAAATTGATATATCAACTGATGTAAATTTTAAAGGCTATTGAATATTGCACTACCGATTTAATGACTTCGTATATAATTTTTGCCATATCACTTGATATATCAAATTCTTAGACTATTTCTAATTATAATAGAATTAACCTTTACCGTATTGATGATGCTTTGTTTGTTAAGATTAATTTACAAAATCGACGTATTAAGGTTTTGTTTGTTTGAATTTGTAAGGAAAAAGTAATTTTTTTGCACTTTCCTACCGAAATATAAACATATTATCGTGTCAATATTTATATATCATATCATGAAAATATCGGGTGTTTAAAATTTAAAATAAAAATTAACAATACATGGGCTGCAAAATTTGAAATAAGTGATGACATACTGAAAATGAGGTATTAAATATGGTCCCTTGGTCAAAGGAGAAAGCATCGGCCAATCTTTGTCATAATTCGTACATATGGCCGCCCGATGTTGAAATGTTTGAAATTTGGGGATTGCAAGGTTAAACAAATGCAGAAAATTAATCATCCCATTTGACCATTAATCCGAACTAACCAGTAGGCTTAGATTGTCCTAATAATAATTTAATGCAGAGTGGGAGGAGACCTTATTTTTATGCACCAATATCTATTGACCCCTTGTCAACATATTGCTTTGACTTCTTGACTTGACTTAAATCATTTTCTTAGATGCAAATTTGAAGTAAACCATCTTCGGGACTTGAACTAAGCCAACTTTTGCTTCAATGGAGATTCTTCTTGCAGGGTCACGACGAATAATCTCCTTCTCATTTTCATATAGATACAGAATGAGATGAATTTCTTGCATAACAGTATGACGACACAGTCATTTACACCAAACAGAAAGGCGAAAAATTGAAAATCGATCTTAATCTTCATCATCTGACTTAGGCAATTTAGGTTCATCATCGATTTCTAGCAGTTGATGCACTATTGAATCCATGGTTGGTCTCTTGTTCCTGTCCTCCTCCACGCACGACACACCAATCTCAACAAGCATTCTTGCCTGCTTCCTGCTATATTTCGCGTTCAATCTCTTGTCCACCAAATCCTCTATCCCCAATTCATCTCCACATTGAATACTCCTCTTCATCTCCCGGATGAAGACCGTCAGCTCGGCCTCCTGCTCCTCGTTCTCTGCTTTCTTCACGACCCAATTCGAGAGCCGAATCCCCCTCACTATCTCCAGGACCATCACCCCGTAACTGTACACATCGACCTTCGCCGTGATCGGGAGGTTCAGGGCCCACTCAGGCGCCATGTAGCCCTTCGTGCCCCTTATGCGCGAGAACTGCGAATTCGTGCCGTCCCTCTGGAGCAGTTTCGCCAACCCAAAGTCTGCGATCTTGGGCTCGAATGTCTTATCCAAGAGGATATTCTCGGGCTTCACGTCGCAGTGGATGACCCACTCGAGGCACTCGTGGTGCAGGTATGCCAGGCCTTTGGCGGTGCCGAGCGCGATCCTGAACCGATCCCTCCACTCGATGAAGTCCCCTGAGAACAAGTGCTTGTCCAGGGACCGATTCTCTACATACTCATAGACCAAGAGCTTGTGCTTGCACTCACAACAGAACCCCCACATCCTCACCAGGTTCATGTGATTTATCTTCCCAATTGTACTGACTTCAGCCCAGAAGACCTCCTCCTCATGGTACACATCTCCGAGTTTCTTCACTGCCACGACCCTTTCGTCTGCTAAAACGCCCTTGTACACGGATCCTGACGCTCCCCTCCCTATCTCTCCCTTGAAGTTCTGGGTCGCACTCTTGAGCTCCTCATAGCTGAACCTCCTGAACTGGCTCGTTATTGTGCGGTACCCATCTTCCACTATGCTCTGGACATCACGCTTCCTGAAGAGGATCCACCAGCTCAAGAAAAAGATGAGGATCTCGATCGCCCCGATAGCGGACGCGAACCAATAGAGGTAGGCCCATCTCACCCTCTTGCCTATACTGTCATACAAGGTTAAGGAAGCTACCAATAATTGGTCTCTGGCCCTGGAGCACTCAGGATCACTGCCGTTGCGAATCGGCTCCAAGGATGCGACCAGGGAGACGGGCAGTTTCAGATGTAAGGTTCCAGGAAAAGATGGGGCCTTGTAGCCGTTGAAGAGCGAGCTCTTCGTGAAACACAATCTTTGCGTTTCACGGTAGCTGAACCCCAAGCAGCTGCAGTCATCCAAACAGGCCTGCCTGCAGAAATTGAACGAGGCGTTGTTGTTGTAGACGAGGTCGAAACCGTAATAGTCGGTGTTGGGAAGCGCCATGAACTTCATGTCCGGAGACTTGGAGCAAGTAAAATTGAACTTGGGCTTGCAACCTTTGTCCCAGTCACTAGGCTCGCTCATCTCATAACCTGGGGGGCATGTGCACTTGGGCTCAGGTGTGTATACACAAATCCCGTTCCTCCCACATATCCCATGCACATTGCACAGTCCCGGAAGCGCCTGCCACGTCACCACCCACGACCCTGACCGCTTGTTCAAGCTATAAAGCCTCAGGTTCCCGTCGGGGTCCATTGTCAGCCGCCGTTTGATCCCCTGGCCTTGGTCAGAAGCATTGAACTGAAACTGGTCGCTCGATTGAAAATGGCCCATCTCGTCTAGGACTGCGATCCGGCTACTGTTGTAATTTGTTCTCCCGTTCGCGAACACGTTGAAGTCCGGGTTAGGCCAATAGAGACTGGATATGTCCGGTCCGTCATACATCAACCTCAGCACATTGTCATTGTCGAAGTACAGGTTGAAGTAGCCAGAGTAAAATGCTCCTCCTTTTAGAGATGACACCAATTTCTTGCTCTTAGTGAGGAGCTGGTTTGGCAGCAGAGTATCAGTTGGATACTCAAAGCTTTGCCATAGAATTGTCCTATCAGGACCTCTGAGCACAAGATTACCCGAATTCAAGAGCTCGAGCGAACGGGCATCTGTAGAAGTCGTGTTGGTTTGCCAGACCACAGAACCGTCCACGTTGGTCAGGACCAACGAGCCGGTGCCCCGGAGCGTGACCTTAGAGCCTTGGCCATTCACGGGCTTGTCCCGGTTGGCCGTCCAAACGACAGTCCTGCCTGAGGAGTTGGTGAACCAAATTGAGAATCAGTAAGCATTGCCTCCAAGGCCATAGAAGCCGCATGCGAAGGTATTATCTGGGGATGTTAGAGTGTCTGAGTCATGTTCTTCAACTGATAGAGAGGAGCCTCTATTCAAGGTGTTTGAACTTGCAAAGGAACAGCATATGGAAAAGATAATGAGTGGGAAGAGAGAAAAGCTTGAAATGGTGATGGTTTTCTGTTTCATCGCTAGAGTTTTAGGAAACAAATGGACAGAGAGTTATGGACTGCGTTTTGTTTACAGATATATGAAGAGCGCGATTTCACACACACACCCCTACACACGCACAGACACATATAAAAGTCGATGACTTGCCCGAAGTGAACGTCTTTCTATAGTTTTAGAAAAATGATACCTGTCACAACCGGGGTACATACTTTTATTTTGATAATTGATATTATATAATAGAACGGCATTATGGAGTCAAGTATAAGCCGTTAAAGGCCAAATAAGAGGAGACAAGGAGAAATTTTGGTTCACACGATTTATTTTGATTGACCTAGGGTCTAACATCTATGAACGAAGAAAATCATCATCATGACATGGCTTCCGGTCAAATATACCTCACTGTTGGAATAATTTCCTATAGTTTGCTTACAATTTTTTTCAAAAGCCTCAAATATTTTCACTCCTGTAGGCTGTTTATATCTAGGGGTGTGCGGGAGACTTTGTGGAACCTGAAGACCATGTACAACCTGCATGGTCGGGTAGGTTCCATAGCGGGTATTAGAGCTTGTAGGGGAAGTTCGAGGTTTCAAAATTTCGGAACTGGCGAGTATAGGTTGGTGTGCGGTCACATCACCCTTTACCCACCTTGCACCCTGCACCCTATGCAAAATACCTATAGAAAGGTATCGGTTTACCATGTATAATTACTCTTTAATTAAATCTATGTGTACTTAACTATTTATGACATTTTCTTTTTCTTTTCGAAACTTTCGCATTTATATATGTGAAAATCCTAGTTGATTAGCAATCTCCATTCCAATTAGAAAAAATAAATCTCCAACTTCATTTCACCCTCCCTCTCTCTGTGACGAGTTTGGCTATGTCTATGCGAAAACATTTTAATTCATGCTCTTAGTACAGTTGGATAGGCTTCTATGTAAACTCATAGATTTAAATGATGGGTGGAAACTGATTCAATTCTTTATTTTTTTTTTTGGTGCTTTTCATGTTTTTATCCTTTTGGAATTATGTTAATATTAAAAAGGAACATGTGTTGTATAGGATTATCCGTATGTTGTGTGTTAAATGCACAGTATGCTAATAATCATCGTAACAATTTTCTTTTAATATTTTTTTTTGAAAAAAGACGGGTAGTTGAGGGTATTTTAGAACCTGTGGAATCGACACGTTTTAAGATGGTTCGAAGAAACTATAAGATATGTTCGAGGTTCTAAAAACCTAGAACTAGTACCTATAAAGTATACTCTAGGGTTGGGCAAATACCCTACCTACTTTTCAACTTGGACACCCCTACTTGTGTATTTACCCCATCACCTATTTGCTTAAACAGTACAAAATCAAGCACTTGAGTCTATTTTTAAAATGGGTCTTGTTAAAGAGTTTCGGAGTACTTTTTAAGTATAACAAAATAGGGACTATTTGGATTTCCAATGTGTCGATTACACATAACTTGAGAAATACGGTACATCAAAAAATTGCACACTTGCTTTATAAGAATTCTTATTCAGTGCCCCAAGGGCAACATTCTTTTCAAACTATTCAAACTTTCATTTTGACGTTACGTTGTGCGTGGGGAGTCTTGTTCTGTTAGTCCTTGTTTATTTCACTTGCAAGACAATATTTCCTGTCCATGTTTAACTCCATGGCATACTTGAGAAATAGCAAAATTACCTAGTCTCAACTTTATTGAAAATTAGAACTTAAGTCAAAACATTTATAAAAGTCAATGTGAATTAATCTTCTTAGGGCCAGTCAATGTTTATGCTGACCTTGTGAAGGGGGTCCAATTGGGTCGTCGATTGGCTGAGAAAATCGCGATAACAAAAGCCATGTCGTGATCGCAGGTTGTCAAAGTGGCCATGTGTAAACAGATCAATCTCGGAGTATATCCCAATGGTTCAAAAACAGATCAGCGTGGAAATGGACTGGAAATCGTGTCTTTTCTTCCATGATATTTATTACAAATTCATAGGAGCAAGGTGTAAAAATAAAGCACAATACATATTTCTTCCATGATATTTATTACAAATTCATAGGAGTGAGATTTGGAAAATATTTTTCTAAAAATAATTGCTTGTATCACTTATGAAAATGAATAAATGAAAAATATTTTTATCATCAATGAAAATGTTTAGACATAAATTGTTGCCGATAATAAAAACATTTTTCATTAACTAATTATTTTAAGGATACAAGCGGTCATTTTTTAGAAAATATTTTTTAAATCATTTTTTTTCTGCGAAACAAACGGAGCCTTAATTTTGGTCGGAGGTGAAGACTAGAGCGAAGACTTTTCCAAGGATTTTGCTGTCTCTAGAAAGAAAGCCACAACACAAACAAGTCAAGTGTGAGAATGTTTTCCTGGATTAATTACTCAATTAGTGTTTCCGAGATACTTGTTAACAAAATCACATAGACTACGTTGCACCTCTGACCAAACTTAAAACCAGGCTTCGATCTAACCTTGTTCATCTCACTTTTATGGTATATCATTATTTATTATTCATTTATCAATTGTCACGAAATGAAACTCTAATGTATGTGAAGAATAGTCTTTAAGAACCTTTGCATGTTGAGCATGCCTATCCATGAAATATAGACTGTGAACACCAGTTTGAATAAACCACCATCAATTGACTGCAGCAGGTTGCGATTCACATTTTCGTGTCCTAATCAGACTTTACAATCGTGTCAAGTCTTGTCATTGAAAATGGCTATAGTTTCGCCAGTTGTGTTATAGAACTTATTCTATACGTTAAAAATCCATGACAATTCGTGTCACTTCCAGGTTTGTTAAATGGTCGTATTTATATATGTTAATTAGTATTAGAACCACCGATACCGGCACTGTAATTTGAAGAAACCAGAATATAATAACCAAAGAGCAAGTATACTAGAACTTAAAACCAGGACTTAGCTCGAATGAATGGTTCCCATTAAAGGGTTATTTCCTGGGAGGTAAAAAAGATGACATCTCTGTTCAAGAAATACACGAAAAACCCAATGTTTGTACTGGTGAGACACCAAATTCGTCTCACAGGTCTAGCTCCGAGACTGTTTGTGATTACTGACGTCAAGAATCAAACCTTTATTTTGCACCTTAAAAGACTATTGAGTCAATTCCCACGTCTTCATATTCCCTGTGAGAAGAAGCACGGGGTTGCTTTATTCCACGAGCACTTCATTTTCTACAAGCAAAGGACGGCAGAAAGCTATGTTTTCATGGATAGAAAGATCTTTGTGAAAGCTTTCGTTTCTTGTTGTCTTTGCTCGGCTGCCCAAAGGAGACGACGTCCCAATCCTCCAAAACCAAATTCTGTGTGCTCAGTCTCTTTTGTCAATCATTTCTGTGCGACTTTTGTCCCTTTATTTCAGTCCTAAAGACAAAAAAATGAGGAAAATCTTCTTTGCGATGGCCCCCCTTAAGAAACCCAGTTGGCCTTGACGTCATAGGGCCTCTTTGCTCTTGCAGTACTACCAGAAAAGGCAACGATGGAGGATCTAGTTACCGCGGGATTACTTCTTCTGGTTTTACCTGAAGTCGCCACGTCAGAGTGCATTGCCGCAAAACTTTTAAAAATGGCCATGCTGGATTTGGTCGTGAGACCTTCGCAAAAATTGGGCGAGCGTTCGCCTGGAAAGGCTTGATTGTACTTTTTCAAACTCTTAAGACTCGATCCCTCATTAAATGAGACGTTTGCGACTATAGATGTCATTTCCCCTAATATTTGGTGCAAGTTTCTCTGCCTACGATAAGTTTCGTAAAAAGAATGAACGAATTTTCTCTGGTGAGCCTAGTAGTTTGAAATATACGAAAAAAATAAATTTGTGATTTCTTAGATCGGAAGCCCACGTCAAATCAGTATTTTGAAAATCGGACCCGTTGGTTCACGGATGAACGATTGGTCCTCCAGTTTATATTATCATACCACTAGAACATTAAACTGGTCAAAAACCGATTTTGACCCAGTTCAACCGTTAAGTAGCTGCCTGACTGAATAGGATCGACACGTAGAATGAAGGTTGTAAAGGGACGATTCGGACATTGGACCAACCATAGCACTCTCCATGCGCTCAAGGTAGAAGCATCTCATATTAAGCCTATTAGTTTCTGCAATTATCTCTAAAAAAACAATATCTAATGTCAGTATTAACAGAATGAAACGGTGGCACCCTTTACTTACTACTCCATATAAAATGCGTGGCTCAGGAGGCATTTCTCCATATGAAAGTAAAGAAGAAGGGGAAAGATGGCCGGTGTGCACTGAAATTATATATGGATAAAGCCTATAATAGAGTTGAACGGAATTTCTTGGACTGTGTTATGTTTCAGCTGAGCTGTGATAAGGTGTGGATTGACTGGATTATCACTTGCGTTAGATCTTTCTCCTATGAATTGATAAATAGTGGGAGAAGGTTTGGGAAAGTCATTCCAAGTAGAGGTGTTAGACAAGGAGGTCCCCTTTCCCCCTATGTTTTCATCCTTGTTGCTGATGTGCTGTCTCATTTACTTGTAAAAGCTGTACAAACAGGCATACTGCAAGGAATGTACTCTTCTTTCATCTTTCTTCCGTTCCCACCAAAATCTAGCAATAGCTGTATCCAATCCCTCGTACCACAAGTGATAATCCAGCCAATGCACACCTTATCCCTAAATTACTATATTACTTTTCAATTTTCACTGAAACATAATAATGACTACATATATAGAAGCAAACCCTATGCATGCCTCCATAATTTAATTTGTCCATATATATACATTATTTTATTATTTAACATATGTTGATACGATGACATGTAATAGAGTAATGACTAAAAAATTTAATGGAAAACTAGCCAATCATTAATTAGCGTTGCACCCTTGATCAAGTAAACATTTATTTAACAAATAAACAAAGAGTAATGTTTTTTTTTTCCTTTTAATGTTGGGATACTCCCACGTGTAGGGAATAGAAATAAAAATAAAAAAAAAGAATCACCGGTTTTGAGACCGACCTAGAACTGGCTTGGACCGCTCAGTCTGGTTCTAAGACCAGGTGGGCCAGTTTCTAGTTCCACACGTGGAACTAGGACCTACTCGGTCAGGTTTTAGG